AGCTGTCTGACGAGTGAGTTGTCCACAAGTTCAAACAGCACATTACAGTTATCAAGTTTCATACACAATGAAAATGTCCCAAGAAAACAGCATGTTCTATTCGATCCTATTTGGAGGATTTCTGTTTGTTACTAAGGCAATTTTACAGCAATTTTTTGTCTTAATTCCTGTAAATATATCTTCCACATACATGATCCACTCACACTACCTTAAAAAGCAAATTTCCTCTATACTTCTAAGATTGTACCTCGATGTGCAGTATTAGTAGATCTCTTTAAGGAATAACTTCTCCTCCCACCAAATTAAAAAAATATATATCTATTCTGGGGTTTATATGCTTTGAGACAAAGATTAATAAAGACTTCCAAACCAGAGAGACGTTGATCTCGCCCTTGGAAAGCCTACTTTTTAAGAAGCACTCAGCAAAACTCCATGCTCCTATCTTCCCAAACATCTTGACCACAGTGCTTCAGTCTCCTGTGAGGAACCATCCACAAAACCAGTGTTGCAAAGTCTTCCGAAGGCCACCGCTTTCCAGCTAACCTGAGTGAGTAGTGGTGAGCAGTATCGAAAACTGAATATGGACGTTCAGAGCTCAGAGGACTCTCAGTTTCCCGGTTTCTACCCAAACCCTTTCTGCAAGCAATGTTTATAGCTGTTTGCAGTATTAAACTTCAGACTGAGCAATGTACTTACATTTGTGTGCAATTCCCAAATTATACAGAAATAGGCAAAGGACTGATCATGAATTTGAAGCTATGCATGATATTGCTGAGTCAGGAGCTTCTTGAATTAAATCAAGATTTCCGGTACAATCACTTTGACCACAGCATTGTTTTAACAGCAGTAGCAGCAACAGCAATACACTACACACTCTCCCTTCTTACCGGTCCTTCCTGAAGAGCAAAATGGTTCCAAGTTCAGAATGACCTCACCAATTAAGAAGGTATTGCTTCTTAAAATACTTACAGTGACTAGAATCTCAGGAAGCCCAAACACACTGCAAAACCAATCTCCATTTTATTCATGGCAAAACACAGCCGTGTGGCAAGACGAAACTACATTCCCAGGATGCTACATTCTTAAGAGCTGGGAATGCTAGACTGGAGTGACAGCTGGTCACATTTACTTTCAAAACATCTGTAACAATTCAAGTATTGAAAATCTTAACAATTATACAAAACTAAACCATGGGCTTCATTGACTCAGTAGCCATGACTTCTAAATTCAGCTTTACCATTTGTTCATCACCTCCTTTTCCTCTGTCCTCTCTGTACATTAGATTCCCATCAGGGAAATTTGATGCAACTTGCCCAAGATGGACCAGCCAGTACCTGGATCCCTGCAGGTCAAAATACAGTTTTCATGCGAGTCATGTGTTTTGGAATGAATATTCATGTACTGGCTACTAATAAAATCCAAAGTATTTGTAACTTGTGATAGCTGCTATTGAAGAAAGCAGGTGTTTCAGTTGATGCTTCTTTTTAAACACAATCAAACCATACAAAACTTGATGAAGTACAAGGAATTTCATAAACTGAAGCATAAAAAAGTATTAAAACTATGCTCCTACATGCCCCTTCTTAGCATATCACAGTATCTTTCATGCTTTATTCTTGGTGCCAGCTGGATTGTATGTTTCAGAACAGTCTTGCACAGAGCTGGCTACTTTGAACTTCTGCCTTTAGTTACAATCTACAAATATTTGGTCTGTGAAAATACTGCAAAGTGTTAATATTTTAGAAATTGATTTCTAATGTCAACATCTGAACTACAATTGCATTATTTCCAACTTTTAGTGACGTGAATAATCAATTTCATGAGTCTATAAAGTAAGCCTCCCCCAAAAACAAAATAATTCCAGTAACAGTGTTTTACTCTTTTATTCTGCCTTTTATTTTCTTTGCATGAAAACTAAAGCATAGTGTGATTGGGGTAAATGGTAAGTAATGTTTGTGCCAGCTCAGACACTGTTTCAAGATTTCATATAATACCAAAGCTGATTTAAAAATTCACGTGTCATTGTTAGCAGTGTTTCACACATGAGTATGGAATTTTAAATTGTCACTTAAAACTGTAAAGCTAATTAATCAAATAAAATCACAAAGCAGGAATAGTTTACCCTAGGTTTTGTAATGCCACTGAGACAGGATTCCTTTCTGTCAGACTGTATTAAAAGAATAAATTTTAATAAGACTTCGAACAACAGCTGTAGCTAACTTTATCCACATTGTCTAGATGAGCACAGATTTTTACCCTGCTCAAAAGGTAGCTCTTATTCAAAGAAGATGCCTTCAAAGTCAAAAGCCAACACACGTAACCACCCACACAAACATGAATCCAGACCGTCACAATCTGCTTTGGAGGAATCCACGTTTCACAACAACGGTTAAATGTCTTTAGGACAGAGATACAAGGGTCTTAATGGACCAGAGTTTTAAACTTTCTGACTTGTCAAGCTGTTATACTGTGAAATGACACTTAGGTTCTGCCTCCATCTGACCGTCTTTGCTGTGGAAATAACTGGCACACTCTGAGTCAGACTCTCAGACCAAAAGGGTGTTTTTTTCAGTCAGGTATTAACACCTTTGGCGAAACTGTAAACTATGTCTCTCCCTCTTCAAACCACTTCCAGGCAAGCTTGTCTTCAGAAGATGGGTCATTTGGCAGCCCTGACGGCTTGAGTACACGCTTGACACCAGTCTGACAGGACGAACAGAACTCTAAATCTTCAAGGGATCAAACAGTACCAGCATGCTTACTGCCCTGATCATTCACACCTGCTTTACAGACCACTGTAGTCACTGACAGAGCAGAGAATGAACTGTGAGCTTCTAGACAATGCTCAGCATTATGAAGAAACTTTTATAGCCCAATTGCCTTTTATTTGAAAACTAATTGTAAATGTGATTTTTCACGCAATTGTTTCTTAATATGCAGTAGTAATTAATTGGCTTTAAGTTGCCTATGATTTTCCTAACGTGGTAGGTAAGCAAGATCCAACTACAATTCATAGGACAGACTGATTTACTTCCTCAGGTATACATTCACACACACACAAATATTTCTCCTTTGAAATTTAGAGGACCTTTGAGATTATGATAAAAACCTCTGCCCTTTCCTCCTGGCACTAGCTAATTCTACCCAATTTTTGGAAGGATTCATGAACTTCTGAACAGACCCTGCATTCCAGTTTAAAGGTACAGAGGAAGGCCTTGTTACTTGTGGACATCAAGGAGGGAGCAACGTGAATAAAGAGCCACGTTTCTGCTTTCACCTTGCTCTCGCTTGCGTTGTCCTGACACAACAGCCCACTGGGAAGGTGACACGGGGGAGAGATATGCCAAACTCGTAGAAGGCTAGAATTTCCTTCCTCAGAGCGTCCTCTACAAACTAAAATAGCTATGATCTCTATGAAACGACTTTCCAAGTATCCAAATCACTTCCACACAAACACCTGCAATGTTAGCAAACATGGGCACATGATAAAAATCTGCAGTGTGTTCAGTACATGCAGCTTACTATGGATCTCCGCCCTTTCTTGTCTGCAATCTTGTCCTGCTCTTCAGCTCCTCCAGGAGCTCAGGTTATTCTGCATTTTTCCCATCCTTTCTGTGCACGTACTACTTTGTCTCCTTCCCTCTCTCACACAACCTTTTACCCCTGCACTCTCATTCTACCCCAACTTCTTTTCTCCTTTTCTCTGCCCCACAAATCCGGCTTCTTTAGATTTCTGATCCTTTGAAGATCTCTCATTTTTATTCTTCCCACTAAGCCCAGTGGTAACCTCCTCTCCCTGGTACAATCTTTCCTTTTTCCTACCTACATGTAGCTGGGGTCGCTTGCCCTTTTACCGTGCACAGTCCCTGAAGGCTGTTTAGGAGAGGAGGACAAGGACCACTCTTCTCTCTTTCCAGAATGGACAGTTTCTTGGTACATCGCGCTCTCCCCGGAGAGGAGCTTCTCAAGAGGCTTTTCACTGGCAGGGTCACAAAGCAGGCTGACAATAGCTTTCCTCGGCCACACAGGAAACGCTTTGATGTAATTAACTCTCTTCCCCAGGCAGAGTATCAAAGTGCGAATCAAGGCTTCCTCTGGAATTTGGATTTGGTTCCCTGAGCCAGAACAATAGTGGTGATGCTAGACAGGCTTGATAATGGCTTCTATTTTAAATTCTGCCTTTATTTTTTAGAGCTGCCTGTCACTTGGCATTACTACCATGCTTGCTGACCAGCTATATGTTTGTTTTCTTGTACTCCCTGCTTTTGTGCAGCAGTATTCCTCCATGGATTCCTCTAATACCTTCACTGCAAGCTCTGTGGGGCAGGATGATTCCTGCACTATATGCACAGCCCAGTACAGCAGGGGCCAAGGCCCTTTCGGCGCTCTGTTAATACACAGCACCAAAACCTTGGGTCTGGTCACAGAACAAGGAGGACAGTACTGGCAGGAAACGAGACTTTTCCTTGCTCCCTGAAGCCTGCCTACTGCCTTGCATCAGACAGCAAAAAAGCAAAGTGGGCACGATGTGTGCAAGGAAGGAGTTGAAACAGTGCCCAAGTGAATGGAAAGTATCCAGATGGCTGTGGCAACTCACATGATGAGAGTCAAATCAAAACAAAATGAAAACAAAACCATATGCCACGTACCCTTCGGTCTCTTGCTCTCTTTCTCTCCCTGCCTTTCTCCTCACTGTTGCCCCAGGTCTTTCTATCAGTACGGATAATAGTATGTTACTCAATGATGTGTATGCCATGAATAACAATGACCCCTCTTTTACATTAGAGATCATGGATTACTATTATTCATGTAACAAAGAACGTAATATGAACCACAAAATTATAGTCATGTAAGGGTCAAGGAAGTGTGAGGGTCTACAAGGGAAGTTGTATTTCTTCATTAAATTCTTCTGTTTATCTGGTACGCTGTATGCTTATAAAAGAGAATATTAACTTTACACGTCTATGTTGCTATATGCTATAGAAATATCTACTCACAACCTGCTTGTATCTCAGGGGGAGTATTCAAAAGCATCATGGCAGTGGCAGCATCAATGTCAGGATCTGGAAAAATCAACCAATAAATACATTATTTACAACTGGGCTAATCTTCTTGCCCCCGTTGCTAAACTACAGGTTCAACCAAATCTCTGCAGTGAAAAGGTATAAGAGTTCATTATTCAGGGGGCTTGTTGATCACACATTGAATTTACCCCCAAACTCGCATGTGATCCCATTGCTACTATTAAGCAGAGCGCAGCGATGAATGTCCCCAAACCATACCCATGTGTGCATGATACCTTCGCTGTTAACCTCATGAATTTGCTGTTTAATTCCATGGAGAGTATTTAGAATTCATTACAAAGGACCGGCGAAAGCAGGTGCAACATCACAATTTAGAAGCAACACACAGCGATGAGCTGACAGTAGAGTGGGAAAGCATAAGGAACACCTACACCTGAGCAAGCACAGATGACAACACTTGGTCATTTCAATTTGTCAATAAGGATTTCACTGATGTTTAAGAAAGTGTTGGAAGCCAAACTGCTACAATTAAGGCAAAATAAAAAAGAAACTAGCATTTCATTGAAGCACCAACGGATTTGCATCCTCATCCATTGTCACTTTAACACAAGCAAAAATCATTGGCTGGCTGCTGTTATTCTTAAAATGGTTTCTGAATCCACCACAAACAGTCAGTTGACAGATGGTAAGTTATAGAGACAGAACAAAATATGATCCTTTTATAACTATATTCACTTGCTTCACACACAGCAGCTCGGCTGCTATGGAAATGTAGGTAGCCATGACGACAGTAAACAACCCCACAACGGCCACTGAGTAAGCTGAAAAGAACATCTGCCCCAGCAAAGCGTCCCAGCTGCCCTGGGGCGCAACTTGCTAATCGTGCAGTGATGCCCTGTGACAGAGAAAGCCGCCTATGCCATGTCCAAATAAATGAAGTGTGCAATTGAAGCAGACATAAAAACGCACGCCCTGGCCGACTGCTGCCTCTGTGCTGCTAAACTGAATGACTAATGAGTATGCGTTTGTTGTTTGGGTTTGGTTTTTTTTTTTTTCAGCTTGTCAGTATTTATCCTAAATTACATACCAAAAAATTCAATTTACTATTAATAGCTTCACGGCACTATTTTGGCTATTATGTTGGAAAATTACTTTTCATGGTTAAAAATATATGTATATGTACATTTGTATATTTCAAATCTATTTCCAGTAAGTGATGTGGTATAAAGCCCTGCAATTTATTAACAATACAAATGACTTAGAGAAGATTTCAATATCTGCTTAAGCAAAATACAAATTCACTTGAGCAGTTAAGGAAAAAAAAATGGGATTTTTTTCATTAGTTTAACTATGTACTACTTTTCTGAGAATAGATGGAAACACACTTCTAATGGCTACTCTATTATTTAATTGCTGAAACAATAAACAGAGCAACAGTGTAGCAGGCATAAAACTAAAGTTGAAGCAGCAGCAGCAGAATAAATTAGTAGACAAGGTGCCCACATACTAGAGCAGGTACCTGTCTGTCTCCTGGACAAGTCAGCATATCGTTTTCCAAAAGTCATCAGCAGACTACTGAGAAAAGGAGCTTTACCAACTTATGTTCATCCTCAAGTCTCAAGATACATCAAAAGCAGTACCCTGGCTGCAAGCAACTATGCTGAAAGTGCCATTTCCAAACAGCCTCACTCCTGAACGTGTGACATGTTGCAGGACTGGGTCCACACATAGCCCACAGGAGTTTCCCTTTAGTCAAACTGAAGGGGGACAATCTATCTAACATTAAAAAGCAAGACAAAGAGCAAAGAACCTTGAGAAATAACGCCAAACCAGAATTCCTCCATCTCTTTCATACTATAAAATCAGAAGATTGTTAGAAGTTGAATTTACTGTATCATAATTCATACAGTCAACTTCAGAATTTATCAGCTGTTCCTAAATTTTGTTTTCTTGCTTTACTTTAAATAAGGTCCTACCACTCGGTAACACTGTAGCACAATGTTAATTTTGCTGTTGAAAGAATAA